TGGTGCAAATAACATTATTCTTTAAAAAAAATAAAATTAATTGGGTCAAACAAGTTAAGTACTAAAAAAAAGTTTATACCAAATCTCTTAAAATCAACAATCTAAAATTGATTCATATGTGTGATGTTTATGCGCTGATAGAATATCGGTATGATTTGTTGCAGCTTCTTTTGGTTTAAAAATTAAGAATATACACCCAAAAATGAGTAAAATGTAAAATTTGTAAGAAGATTAAAAATTGATGGGTTAGGCTTAAGGGCCCAACTCATATTATAATCTCAGTTTAAATTAAAAATCCAACTCAAAGAGATCCAATGGATCCAGCCCAAAAAGAGGTTAACTCCCAGACAAGCTCAGCATAGTTCGAGGAGCTACGTCGTCAAAGGAAGCATGGTCATCCAAGAGCATCATCCACGCGGCCTTAGAAGAAGTTAACCACCACACCATCCTTTGACCAGATCTTATGGGGAGCGTTGTAACTATCTCATCCGTTGAGAAGATGGCGTCAGCTCTACCAACATAACCTTTTAGTTACTAATAAGTCATCTCACTCTATTAAGAGGTAATTATAAATTGTAAGTTCCACCAATACTTGAGGCCATCACACTCAGTTGAGCACATCTTTTATCACTTTCACCTCTCTCATAACTTGTATCTTCCTACACTTCTCGAAGTAATAAAATATCAGGTCATCCAAGCCCTTTAAAGTGGACGTTGGTCACGTTGACTGAACCACTATAAATATTTGTCTCATTTAACTTATTATCTATCTCCACTTTATTATTGCATTAATTATCAGTCACTTAATAGGTGATGCATAAAACTAATTTGTGCATCATCAAAATTTATAGAATATTACTTTTATGTGTTTCAAATAAATTACGTAATTGATCATTGATGTAAATATGTTATTTTATTAAATTTTTTCAAACAAGCTCTTTTATGTTTAATGAATTTTTAAAATATCAAATACAATATAAAAAATGTAAATATATCACATTATTTTTATCTATTAGAAGAAAAAATTTAACTTATACTTAAAATATGCCTACCCTAAATTATATTTCTCGCTCTGTCACTCTATAATGATATTGAGAGTTTTAGTCTTTCCCCATCTTTTGGAGAAAATATTCTATGTAACAGTGATATCATATCAATATTAATTAAATGATATCATCAATCAATAATAAAACTTTAAATAAACAAAATGAACTCCATTTGGATAGTTATTGACTTACATGGAAGAATAATGAATTATTATTGGCTTACATAGACATGTAATTATTGACTTGTGTACGTCCCATTTTCCTATTGTTTACACATTATTGGTTGGTGACAATATATCATCAATACTGACATGTTATTGTCATTGCATTGAATATACCACTGAGTGAGGTGATCTAACAGGGCACTGGTTGAATTTTTCACATTGAAGTTGGATGTTCGAGTCTTGAAGTCCACATTAAGATTCGATGGTTAACTGTTATGCTAGTTTAGTTAGATTCGTTCTCGAGAGGTGTAATAAGTGCGATTAGGAGCCTCATAATCTCACTAATAAGGACCTATCAAGATGATCTTTGAACACTCTCATTTATTCTTGTCTATCTTTTTTTTTTTTTTTTAACTCAAACCGATGCGATGAATATTTTTTCCATCTTTTGAATCTTTCTTCCATCGCAGGTGTCATTATATTGGTGGTCCAATGTACATAACAATTCTATACAATAGTGATACTTTATTCTTTCTCCTACTCTTGCCAACATCTTTTCTATTCAAGGTGTTCGTTGTACTTGGCATATTTCGCACTTGATACTTTGTATCATTGTAGTCGTAATGCATTGCATTAGATAATATGTTACATCATTATAAAAGTGATGACTTCATTCTTCCTCTCTTAGGAACATTTTTTATAACTATTGATATCTTTTTTTAATTGAAAAGCAAAGATACAATATGAAAATATTTTTTCTACTTCGACTCCTCAATTATCATATTTTTTATATTACACTATTACCTATATGATTAATTTCATATTGTTCCAATTACTATGTCCGTTACAAATTTAACAACAAAATTATTTCATTTTATCCCGAATTATATAATTTATTTCACTTTACGCTAATATGTCAGTAATTTCGTCAAAAAAATAACAGACATTTGTGATTAAGAAAATATAAAATAATTAAAGTAATTGAGCGGGTAATTTAAAAAATTTAATAGTTAAGGAAGCAAAGTGAAAAAAAAATTATAATTAAGGGGATCAAATTATAATTTACACTTACACTTATTTACTTGTTAGGTCAAACGAGGGATCATTTGTCTTTCAAATAGGTTTGAATGATACGTAAGAAACGGACGAGAAATCGGCGAGACTTCATGTGTGAGAGCCGAATATGCTACGCTAGAGATCAAGTTGCGCTGCTTAATCTGACGTGGACGGGTCCCACAAGTCTCGATTATTACTTACAAGACCGAGAAAAGACTTCACCTACCCCAAAAAAATGTGTGAATTCCGTGGACCCAGGGGGCAACTGGGTCCCACGAACTCCCCATATGGATCAAAGGGACATCACGACGGAAGGATATTCTCGGTATTTCTGACGTGGAATTCACACCTGTTAACCTTCAAGTGGAATGATTGGGTCCCACTATGTCATGCATTAGAAATCATTTTGGATTTTTGTGTATCAACTTGTAAAACCTGTCTCCTAATTTTTAATCAATAAAAAAGTGGTTATTAAATGATGTAGTATTACTCATTTTAAGTATAAAGTCAATAAAAATATAGTATTATTCATTTTAAATATAATTTTTTTACTCATTGTATATATAAAGTCATAAAGATTTTCTGGAAGTTTTCTAATTTTATGTCAATATTTAAACATTAAATATGTAAAATATTGTTTTAGACAACAAAAAGAAATTTTACATATAGAATTCACAAAATACTCCTGAACACAAGATAAAAATATAAACATATTTTAAAAGTGGTTTTTAATGTAGTATTTTGACTAAAAAAATTACTGGATCGTCGAAAAATATCACAATTTGTTTTTGTAATTATATTATTTAAATTTAATTTATTAACTTAATTCATTATAATCATTGAATTAATAATGAATCTCACATAATATTGTACCCACATTGTCAATCTAATAATTATAAATGATTAAATTAATAAATTAAATACAAAATACATTACTCTTTTTTTTTTATCAATCATACAACGAGTTTAGAACATGTAATCTTAAAATTTAAGTGCGAGGATCATAAGTTAACCATTGATCTCAAAACTACATAGGCACGGTAGCCTAGTTGGCTTCAATAAATGGTGAAAGTCCCACCCTCCTCTAATCATCTGGGGTTCGAACTTGCTTACAATAGTAGTTCTTAATGCCCTATTTGGTAAGAGAGAAAAATAATTGGATGAAAAATACGAGCGAAGTAAGCATTTTTCATTTGTTTGGTGAGAAAAGAAAAGTGGATGGAAAAGAAAAAGGGAAGGAAAAAGTTTTTTTTGAGCCCACCATTTTTGATCCACCCAAATATGAGCGAAAAATACGAGAGGATTATTGGTTGCAAAAGGTAATTGAGTTAATTTATATTTATACCCTTATTAATTGCATATTCTCTGTAACAATCATGTTAAATATCATTTGTATAAGGGGCACAATTTTAAAATGTTGTTATATAACTTATACATGGTAAGACACCTGATGACATTATTTAATTATATTTTTATAATAAAATTCTAAATCACATATGTAATTTTTTTCCATATCGAACAATAAAGAAAAATTCTATTGTAAGAAGTATAGGCCAAATAAATTTCTTTCCATTTCTCTTCTAAATGAAAACATGTACTATAAATTCAAGTGTGATCTATTATATATAAGTAACTCAAATGTTGATTAACAATAAATTTACAAATTAAACTTAAAATGATGTTATAGATTTACAATTTTGTCTATTCACAAAGTACCTTGGATTATTGGTTATTATTTTTGGTATACATATTTATATTTATTTGTTTATTTATTTTTATAATTAATTAGAGCGACACTGAATCCTTTAAATTTATTTATAATAAACAATTATATATATATATAATGATAAATTAAGTATATGTATCTTTTATTTCATTCCACTTTTTCTCCAATACCAAATAATAAAAAATTAATTTTTTCAACTTTCCATCCATTGTTCCAAACACAAAAGGAATTTTTTTTTTTTTTTCTTTTAAGGATGAAAAGTATGTTTTCACACTTTTTTATCCTATTAATTTTTCATTCCTTGCATCAAACGGAACCTAAGGGACTAAATGTCTACCTTGTCTTTAATACTACTATAATGACAAACTCGACCATTTAAAATTAAAAGTTATGATTCAAATCGAATATTCTATAACTAATGAAAATTCCAAGATAATGTCTAAGAAAATTATCTCGCCTAATCATCCCTCACCACTTTTCTTCTCAAGAGACAAAAAAAAATCCACCAATTCAATATCACCTCCCATTGAACAAACGGCTTTTAATTACACCGGCTCTTGACATATTGTAAAAAGAGCAGTGTTATTAAGACTTAAAAATTTAATTTAATTTATTGATCTAATTTATTGTAATATTTGAATTATATATAGGCTCTGTCAAACATTGAAAGTTGATATTAATTTAATAATTTTTATTAAATTAAATTATTATATTAAAAATTAAATTATTTTAAATTCAAATAACATTATTCTGGTCAAAAAATTAGAAGAAATACAGCAACCAACTTGTCCTCGAGCTCTGCGAAGGGTTGCAACCCTTCATGTGAATAAAATACTCTCAAAAATAAAATTATTGACTTTCAGATATAGCTAAATCGCGAACACCTCTCCAACATAGTTTTCCACGTGTGACCACCTAAGTTGATATTTTCACCGACTTGTTCGACCTTTAACGCTAAACATAGTATATAAGCTCAGATGGTTTCGGTTCCCAAACTCACACCCATAATTTTACACGAGCAAAGACCATTGTTGCTGAGAGAATTTTCTCCTTTTGTCTCCTCCAAATCTCTCGTAGAAGTTCGCATTACCTTCTGGACTGCGCTTCTGCTGAGTTGATCACATACTTCATAGCTCATATTTACATTTTGGAGGTAGCTGAGCAGAGCAATTTGATTTATCACCGGCGACGTGGCGGCTGGAGATACACACGTAAGCTTTCATGGAGGTTTCGGTCACATTTCTTATTTTCTTAAAGTTTTTTGTTTTGATTGAGATATGAAGCGTTGATACTCTAGAGGTTTTCGGAGATGTTATTTATATATATGTGTATATGTACGCACGTTTATAAACGTTTATGAGAATGAGATCTGAATTACGTGAATTCTGGTTGATTTTGAGTCAATAGAGTTCTGCGTGTGAAATTTGATGATTTTTTATAGTGATGATAGTGCTTTCAGCTTGTGTTCTCTCTGTTATCGATATTTAGATCTGTTCAAGCGTTCAAGAGGTGATTTGATAAGTTTTATCTGCATTTTGGTGGTTACGTCCTTTGAGTTTCGGGAAATTTCTCGTTTAGCCAGTCTTGATTTTATTATTATTATTATTATTTTTTGTATGCTAGCGTTTACCTGTTACTCTGTTCTACCTGCAAATCGTTCTTTCGAATAAATAAATGAGTATTTTGAAGCGTTCAAGAGTTTATTGGAAAGCTGAGTAAGTTTTGCTGTGGATCTGCATATTCTTGCTAGATTTTCAGGCTTTTTTGCATGTTTGCTTCATGGTGATCAGTTGATCTGCTACTTTTCGGTCGGTATATTCTGCAGGGAATTTGACGGATTTGTCCTTGAATTTCTTTAAATTTACGCTCTGTGTCATGGTTTTGTCGTCGATTTCTATGGTTCTTGTTGATTTTAGCTGGAATTTTTTTTGATCAAAGTGCAATTGTCAATTTTGAGAATTAATCATCCGCTTTCTCTCTCTAGAGCTCTCAGTTTCTTCAAAAGTTGATTTTCCTTTTGTGCTTCCGTAGTCGTGAATATTTTCATGAATAACCTTTATTGCCTCCTTTTTCTCTGCATCTTTCTCGCCATTCCTCTTTACACGCCTTTTCTTTTCCAACTAGTCCGATTCACAGTATTCCCTGTTGTGGTCCATCGTTACACTTGTTTATATAGGTGAAACTATTTTCTCTCTTTTTGATTTTGTTTTTGTTTTCTTCAGCTTGTGATTTTGTTGTCTGTTGTTGAATTTCCAGAAACCACCCCCCAATTCTATACTAATTACCAAACAAGGCGGTGTACGAATTAGTCACAAACAGCGATGTGGTTTGAACATGTTTTTTGCCAGTCGCAAGTGGCTGCTGCTAAATTTAGAAGCAGAAGCCCATTAAAATTAAGAATGGTTAACTTGCTCGACTTCATTTCTGATTTTTTGTCTTGTAATACGATAACAAAATAGCAAATTAAAAAAAAAAGGAAACAAAAAACAGATCAACTTGTTTTTAAATTTTTTATCAGTAATACGTACCTTATGTTGTAATAACTATACGTTTCCACATGTAACTGTGTGTACTTATACTAATTATATTTCTCCTGTATAGTAAAGATAATTTGATCTTGATTCCATTTGTGCGGGCTCAGATGGTGATCTGGTTGACGCATAAACTTAAGGGACATAGACTTTTCACTTCACTATTTATAATAGAACCATCCTTTTTGATAAAAAAAAAAAAAACTTCTTTCGTTGATTATCAACCCAGGTGTCCACTTTGTGATTAATATGCACATTTTTAAGTACTCAAATAACGAATCACTATCCATGTGTCCGTTTGGGGGTGTTTTCAATTACTCCACTAGTGAACTATGGATGACTCGAAAAATTTAAGTTCTTTTAAGGGGTAGTACACACTTTTTTTGTGCTACCTCGAACATTTTTAAATTGATGGTGTTCTTTATTTAGGTATACCAAAATTCTGTCTTGATCTCAATGTATCTGCTCTTACTGCTGAGTAATGCTTAATTGTTTTGTTTATTGATGTAGTTTATTGTCAACTAGTAAGGTGTGAGATGACGGTTACGCCAAAGATATCCATCAATGATGGGAACCTCGTGGTTCATGGGAAGACCATACTGACGGGAGTGCCCGACAACATCGTGCTGACTCCAGGAGCAGGCGTGGGACTTGTTGTTGGTGCATTCATTGGTGCTACGGCTTCAAATAGCAAAAGTCTCCATGTTTTCCCCATAGGCGCCTTAGAGTAAGCATTAACTTACTCTAAATTTATTGCTTTCCTTTGAAATGTCAGTTTTTATCAGTTCTTAGTATATTTATCAGGATATCAACTGCATTTTCATTAAGCTTCAAGAAAACCTGGAACAACTGGGCATGTAGAAACGTAGTTGGTAAAAAAATCCCACTTAAATAGTGCTAAGAATTGGCAATTATTAGCTATATGGTATGTGAATGCCCTTTGGGCAAAAGAAAGATTTCCATCCGAATAAATTCTTCTTTGTGCATATTCCATTTAAACTCAGGTTCACTAAGTTATTAACTCACAATGTAAAGAGAGAAAAGTAGTTTGATAAAAGCCAACATACAGCTTTGTAATAACGTTTGTTAGTTGGTGTTGCATTTTCTATTTGAAAATGATATGTCACACTCTATTTGATTCTATTTACCACAAGTCGCCTACATAATGTGCTATATTGATGCCTCACCATGAACTGAGATGGATTGGTCCATCATCTGACGGGTCCCATTTATTACTTTGTGTGCATGGGTCAATTTGATTAGGTAAGTTAAAACTATGTAATTCTACCATTTTTTCTCTTCTTCAGTTTGCCAGAAACCAGACAAGAGATTCAACTCTTTCTTTGGTAGGTAAATAAATTTTATACCCAAAAAAAAAAAAAAAGATATTACATGAAAGCTCAAGACAAGCCCTGAAGGGTACATGACCAAAGAGGAGCTCTTCACACCTTGCCCTTACAAAATTTAACATTACATCCACAAGTTAAGATTCACACAAGCCTTAATAACACCTACTAAGTTCTAAGGAGGAGCCTTTTAACTTCAGGAGATTCAACTTTAATAATACCAGTGTTACTCAATTAGTAAGTTTTCCAATCTTTTGAACTGAAAACAGGTTTATTTACTATCCGATTGGTAAAATTTGTAAAAAACATGCTGATTGATGAAACAGAAGCATCACATATCCTAGTTTTAGTTTTGTGAAGACAGTATCACATGTGAATTATTACCTTCAAGGTTTTCTTTTTGTCCTATTTAATGTAATTGCTCTTTATTTTTGGGAGCCACCTTAGTTTTTTATTTTGAATGAACCCTGCAGTTGTACAGTGGATTTGGCATGAACACGTGCACACAAAACGACTTCAATTGGTTACCATCTTCATTTAGGGTTTTGCTTTGGCACCTATTCTTGTGATTAAATGTATTTAATTGCTTACTTTGGTTGGTGATGTTGGTCTCGTATGCTGTTGGGTACTTCACTCTATAGGCAAACAACAAGTTGCTTTGGTCAAAAAATAACACATGGTTTTGAAAATAACATAATATTTCTATATATTCTTTAATAGGGGTCTCCGCTTTATGTGTTGTTTCCGTTTCAAGTTATGGTGGATGACTCAGCGAATGGGGACATGTGGGAAGGATATTCCTTTGGAGACTCAATTCGTGCTTGTGGAGAGCAAAGACAGCACTGAAAGTGAACATGATGATGCCCCAACCATCTATACTGTGTTCCTTCCTCTCCTTGAAGGCCAGTTCCGGGCTGTTCTTCAAGGCAATGAGAAGAATGAGATGGAAATTTGCCTTGACAGTGGTGAGTTGCTCATAGCCATCACAAAGTATTTGGAGTAGGCCATGACACCCCTGCTTTGCCAAGGCATTCTTACATAAGACAATATCTCCCGTTAAGCCAGTTTCATCCCAATCGTGGGGTGGAGCTCTTGTTAATGTGGACACACCCATGATGAAGAAATCAATGAACCCTGTCATTCAAATGAATCAAAATAACGGAGTTTAGATCTTTGGAAAGAAAAAATAGAAAAGAATGAGTCGGAATGAACTGAAATGCTTTGGATTTTGTTGGTGTTATGTGCTTTTTGCAGGAGATAATGCTGTTGAAACCAACCAAGGACTTTACCTTGTCTACATGCATGCTGGGACGAATCCCTTTGAAGTCATCAACCAGGCTGTCAAGTAAGTCCACGCTTCATCCTATGTATTTTGGAAGTATTATTTCTCCAAATTGCAAAAACTACTATTATGGTAATTACTAATATGATTCGTGAGGGGCTAGTAGCTGAGCCACAAAAGTTGGGAAAGCTTTTATATTGCACTGTTAAGTCGTGAATCATGACCTTCTGTTTGGATTTTTGTCATTAAACAGGGCTGTTGAAAAGCATATGCAAACTTTTCATCACCGAGAGAATAAGAAGGTGAAGAACTCCTTTCTTTGTTTCCTTTATTTCACCAAGGTTTCTTGTTTTGTGATACAGAGTGATGTTTTCTGAGTGAGTTTTCTGACCATTTTTGGTGGTTTTGTATAGTTGCCCTCTTTCCTTGACTGGTTTGGCTGGTGCACATGGGATGCGTTCTACACTGATGTCACAGCAGAAGGTGTTGAAGAAGGTCTTAAAAGGTACATTAAAAAAATATAAAATTTTAAAGTGTGATATTGTCATTGTCGGTTTAAGAAATTGGTAGTTTCTAGAGATTTAGATTACTTTGTTTTGATGGCTATAATTGCAGCTTGTCAAAGGGAGGAGCTCCTCCACGACTCCTAATCATAGACGATGGTTGGCAACAGATTGGTGGTGAAGCCAAGGACAGCAATTGTGTTGTACAAGAAGGAGCACAGTAATATACTTACCTCTTTTTTTTTTTCCTGTCCCTGGACAGTGATGTGGTTCATGTTCTTAATAAAGCATTTGTGAAGTCTCAATACGAAGCCACCTCAGAAAGAAAAATAATGGCGAAGGGTTTAAAAGGGATTCCCAGTAGATGATATGATCTGGATATTATATTTAAGCTGACATGATGTCACTTTATTGGGGAAATGAACAGACCCTAGTAAGGGACCTTACATCAGTGGTGCGTGGGATGGGGGGTTTAATGTGGTGTTTGTATCTGACAGAAGAATCATAGACTTGGACTCTATGCCCTAGTCATTGTTGGGTGATATCTTACCGTTATGGCTCTTGCAGGTTTGCAAACAGACTAACGGGAATCAAAGAGAATGCCAAGTTTCAAAAGAATGGTAAGAAGGATGACCAGGTACCAGGCCTGAAGCTTGTTGTGGATGAAGCCAAACAGCATCACAATGTCAAGTATGTTCTTCATCCTTGTTTGCTAATTTGTGGGTGTATTTTTGCATTCACAATGGCAGAAACTTTTGCTTAAGTGGATCCCCTACTGATGAAACATGTTCCAAAACACTAAATTGGGTACCCATAGCCAAGATCTAAAAATAAGTGGAACATGATTATTTTTCTAGCCTCCTTCGACCTGTACTGCAAGTTAAATTTACACCTTATGTTGTGCTTAATACCCTTGTGTCCTGCTTTGTACTATAAATGAGATTTAGACCGTCATTAACCATTTTTTTTTATCGCCTAGTCATAATCAAGATATATGACGATTAGAGAACTGGTTTGTTGTCTTGGAGGAAACATGTTCCAAAACACTAAATTGGGTACCCATAGCCAAGATCTAAAAATAAGTGGAACTTGCTTATTTTTCTAGCCTCCATCGACCTGTACTGCATGTTAAATTTACACCTTATGTTATGCTTAATACCCTCGTGTCCTGCTTTGTACTATAAATGAGATTTAGACCGTCATTAACCATATTTTTTTATCGCTAGTCATAATCAAGAAATATGACGATTAGAGAACTGGTTTGTTGTCTGGGAAGAATATTTTGGCTCATTTGCATTGGGTACTTCCATAGTAAAAAGCACCGACTACACAATGATACAATTTTATATTCTATAAATTGGATGCAGGTTTGTGTATGTGTGGCATGCTCTAGCAGGTTATTGGGGTGGAGTACATCCAGCCGGTGCTGGTATGGAACATTATGACACTGCTTTGGCATACCCAGTTCAGTCTCCGGGTGTAATGGGTAACCAACCAGACATTGTCATGGACAGTCTTGCTGTTCATGGATTAGGTTTGGTGCACCCAAAGAAAGTCTTCAATTTTTACAACGAACTTCATTCCTACCTTGCTACATGCGGAGTAGATGGGGTCAAAGTTGATGTGCAGAACATTATTGAGACCCTTGGTGCTGGCCATGGTGGCAGAGTTTCTCTCACCCGCAGCTATCATCAGGCCCTCGAAGCCTCCATTGCACGTAACTTCCATGACAATGGATGCATTGCTTGCATGTGCCATAACACTGATGGGCTCTATAGTGCCAAGCAAACTGCTGTTGTAAGAGCTTCTGATGACTACTACCCTCGCGACCCTGCTTCTCACACCATCCACATTTCCTCTGTGGCCTACAACACACTATTCCTCGGAGAATTCATGCAACCTGATTGGGATATGTTCCACGTAAGTATCTACAACCTGCACTTCATCACAGCTCTGGCCTTTTTATTTTGAAATTGCGAGTCTTTTATTATCTGGAAGATGAGATATTGATGAGCTCACCTTGTTGCAGAGCCTACACCCAGCTGCTGATTATCATGCTGCTGCCCGAGCTGTTGGAGGGTGTGCAATTTATGTTAGGTATGGGTATATTCTGACATTTATGTGTTCTCCTAAGGTAAATTTCAAGTATGTGTCATCTAATGAGAGTTCAAAATTCAATTTGTCTGTATAGTGACAAACCTGGCAACCACAACTTTGAGCTTTTGAAGAAGCTAGTCCTCCCTGATGGATCAGTTCTCCGTGCCCAATTGCCGGGCAGGCCCACACGTGACTGCCTCTTTGCTGATCCAGCTAGAGATGGGACCAGGTTTGCTCCTCTCTGCCCGTCTCCCACTAATTAATCGATCTTCTCCCTTGATTCGTGTTTTAATTATCTGAACTTGATCCAAATGCTATTATTCTGCAGCTTGCTAAAAATTTGGAATGCAAATAAATGCACCGGTGTGGTTGGTGTGTTCAACTGCCAAGGTGCTGGCTGGTGCAAGGTTGCGAAGAAGACCCGAATCCACGATGCATCTCCTGGCACCCTCACCGGTTCTGTGCAAGCTGCTGATGTTGACAACATAGTTCAATGTGCTGGTCCAGATTGGAATGGGGAAACAGTAGTCTATGCCTATAGATCAGGTACATTAGCTCTTCACATTTCTTACTCTTTAATAAATATAAGTGATTCTGTGTGTATCTAGTTACTTATGCAATGTGTTGGGTGCTGGGAATTATTTATGAAAACATGGAAGATCTATAGTAGAATTGGCACCCTTCGAAGTTGAGAAAAATTATTTTTGCAAAATTATATACACTATGCTCAGAGTCGCCATTTAAATTTCAGGGGAGGTAACTCGGTTACCAAAAGACGCTTCACTGCCTGTGACACTAAAAGTACTGGAATATGAACTTTTCCACTTCTGTCCTTTGAAGGTGAGTCTCTTCAGAGAGTTAACTTTAGTTTCATTAAATCAGTATCCTTTATCATCTATTCCATCCATTACTCACTGGTTGATAATTGCTAGTGCAGGAAATCACGGCAAACATTTGCTTTGCTCCAATAGGATTGCTTGACATGTTCAACACTGGTGGTGCTGTGGAGGAGTTTGAAGTTCATATGCCCTCCAACAAGAAACCAGAGCTCTTCGATGGCGAGGTTTCTTCTGATGTTTCCACTTCTCTTAGTGAAGACCGATCTCCATCTACAACAATTGAAATCAAAGTCAGGGGATGTGGCCGGTTCGGTGCGTACTCTTCCCAGCGCCCACTTAAATGCAGAGTGGCCGATGCTGAGACTGACTTCAGTTATGACGCTGCTACCGGATTATTGATTCTGACTCTCCCTGTCCCGGAAGAGGAGATGCACAGATGGCTGATTGAAATCCAAGTTTAAGCGTTTTCTTAACCAAGTGTAGTAGTACTAGTATCCCACCTTTTCATGTGGGGTTCATTCGTACATGAGCCAAGGTTGATGGGGGGTTAATGTTATTGGCATGATGCTTCTGTATTTCCTAAGAGGAGCATGGAAGCTTCCTCCTGGGGAATAATGAGTAGGGCTTGTATCGATTATGCTTTCTGTGAAATAAATATACTTCATTCTCTGCAATGAAGGTTCTCTACAGAAGTTTGTTTTTCCTCTTCTTTCTGCCTTGAATTGGAAAGAAAAATTCGGAGCCTCGTACCTCAAGGTTCTGGAGGTATTGAAGTCAAACTGACATTTTTTATGGCCAGTCATCCTCAACATGCACAACACTCACAAGATGGGCAATTGGGGATTCACCAAAATTCCCTACAAGAACAAGCTCCATTGACGAATTTGTGGAACCGAACCCGGTCCCTAACAATGATCTCTCTCTCATACAATTTACTGATAATCTTTGTCACTTCATGACAATCCCCACAAACCCTAAGGTTTTTTACCACCCTAATCACCACAGGTGCTTTAGTTTTCAACAGGCCAAAAGCAATAGCCAGTCTTTCACTGTGCTCACAAAGAGCATTCTCCTTCTCTTCATCACCGACATTGTGCAATACCGCAGAAATAAATGGCTCGTGCCCAGCATCACGGACCCTACGAGAGACGTCCCTTAGAACTTCTCTTATATCCTTTGATTCCGGGTGAGACCAATCACCCATTACGAACTCGTGCACAAAACCATCAACTTCGATGGCGCTGCAACCAGGTACAGCCTTAATGCCTTTATCCTTCATCTGCTTTCTTACGATGCTCATTTTCACCCATTCTGAAACTGAGGCATACAAACTGGCTAGAATGCTATAGTTTTCTGCATTGAGCGGCTCTAATTTAAGAAGCCGCTCACCAACAATCTCACCTTTGTCCAAAATCTTGTTTTTCTTGCACCCCACGAGTAAGGTTCTCCAGATTGCTGGATTTGGGGATATAGGCATGGTTTCAACAAATGTGTAAGCCTCTTCAATTAGATCTGCTCGGCAAAATAGATCAACCATGCAGCCATAATGCTCCATAGATGGTTCAAATCCAGAATCAAGCATGCTTGACCAGTATTTTCGGCCCTCAGACACTAGTCCACTATGCGCACATGCGGATAGAACACCAATGAATGCCACATGGTTAGGCTTCACCTGAGAACATTAAATGACCATGGATACAAGTTAGCACAAATACACACCAAAGAAGAAACCAAAATATATCAAACATTTGATATTAACCTACTGTGAAAAAAATAAAGCTGCCTGTGTGTCGAGCAAAGGTCATACATCGCATAACATTAAGTGTGTCTAATCTAAAATACCATTCGGTAACACTTTTTTTTAAATACTAGTTTTCTTTTGTTTTTTTTTCAAACAGTTCTTAAAAGAAAGATTTGTTTTCGAACATTTTAGCTTTTCTTGTTCGACTTAATCTCTTATTCTAAGCTTAATAGCATGTATTCTAGTATACATATATAGTTTGTTATGTACATACTGAGTTTCATATAGATCACTTTTCTTGTTCGACTTAATCTCTTATTCTAAGCTTAAAATAGCATGTAGTCTAGTACATACTCTGTTTCATATAGATCACTTCTATCATTTAGTGTTCAAGTATTATTTTGATTTTGAAATTTCTTTCTTACTGAAGAAAAGCATTACCATAAGGTAGTTAAGAGTTATTACCTGAGCTTCCTCCATCCTAGCAAAGGCCATCAATGCATCATCCACAAGCCCATGAATCGCGAACCCAACCATCATCGAGCTCCAAGCTTTGGTATCTTTGACCGTCATTGCCTCAAAAATCTCTCTAGCCTTTTCTATACGCCCGCACTTTGCATACATATTAACAAGCGCAGTACTAACCTCAAGATCATTTTCAATAAACTTCTTCTCTATATAAGCATGTACCCACCTCCCAACATCCAATGCGCCAGACATAGCACAAGCTGATATCACACTAACCATTGTCACCTCATCCGGGTCAACACCCGCCTTTTGCATTTCCCTAAACAAACCGAATGCCTCATTGACCATCCCAATTCTAGAATACCCACTGATCATTGAACTCCAAGCAACTACATTTCTCTCAGGAATTTCATCAAACAACTTTCTAGCTAATTTTATGTCTTCACATTTTCCATAAAAATTAACCAATGAGGTTTGAACAAAAGGACTTGAGTCAAACCCAGTTCGTATTACACGTGAATGGACTTGTTGGCCTTCTTCAGCGGCCATTAAAATTGAGCAAGCTTTAAGAACAAAGGCTAAAGTGAAAGTGTTTGATTTTGGGTAATTTCTTTTGACAAGTTTTTTGAAGATGAAAATGGGTTCTGGTGATGGGGTTTGTAGTTGGGAAAGACCTCTGATGAGGGAATTATAAGAGAAGATGTTTGGGTCTGCGATTTGATAGAAGACCTTCTTGGCGTAGTTGATATCGCCGTGGGGAGAAAGAGCAGCAAAGCCGACAAGTTTGGAGAGAGCGAAGGAGAGAGAGGAGATGGGGAGTGGGTGAGTGAGAAGATGAGAATGGATTTGCCGGAGGACTCGCATGTTGGGGCATTTTTGGATCAGACATGCGAGTCTTTCTTCTGTGTCTTCCAGCTCTTATTGTTTCTGTGTTCAATGCTATGTTTAGTAGTAAGTTTTTGGTCAATGGAGATTTGAGAAAGTTCTTCAAAAGCAACAATAATTCTACATACTTTCGTGTCACGATGAAACAATATTAGCGAATACTCGTCGGCTAATTTACAGAGAGATCCCTCTAATTTTTACAATATCACTATCATCCCCTCTATTTTATAATAGTTATAATCCGTGTCTGGTAAAATATAAAATTTAAGTGTTCAAAAAATCGAACTTATTATATTAAATAATAATTTTTTTCTTCATTTATTTGATTACATTATTTAAAATTTATTTTTTTCTTTATTTTCTTAAAAATATATCAAAATATGTAATTCGAAAATTTTTTTTAACATGTATATACTATCGTGTATGAATAATGTCTAAAATAAAAATTATATTAAATTACAAATTAATCAAATATTAAATTATTAAATATATAATAAAAATAACTGACGTAATGTTATATATATATATATATATATATATATATAAGAAATAAAATTTTAAATTGTTAGGTATTTTATTATAAACATATTCGTTTTACATATTATTTTAACATCTGTGACATGGGCAAAAAGTGATGATGTCATCAAAAATACTTTTTTAAATGACAACTTTACCTTTTAAGTATAACTTATTATCTTACTTCCATACTTTTATACTTCCTTAATTTTATATTCAAACATCACTTATTCTCTTTTTTGAACAAAACTAATATTAAACCCAAACATCTCTCTCTCTCTCTCTCAAAAATCATCAACATAACTCACCATCACTTGAATGTTAATTAGTTGAAGGCTAGTTTGGTGTTCATTGGATAAAATTTAATATTAAGTTGATAAAATTATGTTACATTGTTGAATTTAAATATTATTTGGATGAAATTAAATTGATAAATTAAATATTAATTTGATATAATTGAATTTTGATGAATTAAAGGCAAATTTGGTATTACTTTGATAAAATTGAATCTTAAATTGATGAAAAAAAATATTAATTTGATAAAATTAAATATTAATATGACACAATCAAATAATTAATTGATAAAATTGAATGCCCATTTGATAGAATTAAATTTTAATTTTGATGAAATTGAAGCTCAATTTTTGATAAAATTAAATTTTTAGTAATAGACTTTAATATTAATTTGATGTTAGCCTCTACCAACACCACCTATCACAACTCTTATTTCATCAATTGAGTGTTAATTTGGTATTGATTGATGAAATTGAAGGACAATTTTATGTTAATTTGATGAAATTAAAATTAAAATTGATGAAATTGAATTAAAAATTTGTCAAGAGTATATATATAATTGTACATGCCAATCATATACACAAGAATGGGGATAAATGAGTGAAAATGATATAATGACAAAGTTTGACGGGAGATGACAATGATATTTCCGAAACTAGAAGGATATCCTTACAATTAGGCAATGTATCACTTTGAGGAGTAACCATCACTTACCAGATTGGAAGATCACTTATAGTTCGAATATGTCGGTTTCGGAACTCTTGCCTTCATATGGACAATGAGAGTAATTTATTTACAATGCTCCCACTTTTATCCTGTACCATATGCATATGCACGCAACTGAGGGACTAAATATTTAATGGATGGGTAATAGTATATCATTAGTCGTAATATCGTCAATTATTCCAATGTGTTAATTATCGGATATGGTGATTGTGGGTAGTTATTAAAATAATAAGGTCCACTAAATGTTCTATAATTAGTTATAGCACTACACGTTATTGTTACATCGAATATTTTCCAACTGAGGTGCTTGTTTGTACTTCAGTTCAGTTCCATAACATTATTGAACAGTTCCTTGCACTAAGGTTAAAATTTGCCCTCACTAAAAAGTATATAAAATAATGTAGAGATAGTTTTTATTTTAGAAAATATTTGGGATATTTTTTTTTTGTTCCAATGAGTTTTAATAAGGAAAATTTGGTGGTAGATCCTCACTTTTCAGTTTTTTAGACTAATAATGCAAGTGCAAATCTTTTAAAGTCATGAGACAAAAATATAGTGATAGATAAAAATACCCTTAATGGTCCACGTGGGTACAATTGTACTCCGGTTAAAAGATTTTTTTTTTTTACTCAGCCTGTCATTTTCTTTGCTTAAAAATGTGTCATAAAAGTAGGAAAAACATACAAAAAGTATGCACCAGTTACTCTGTATTAAATCCATACTTTCCAATAAAAGTCATTTTCTCACTCATCGAAAATTATATGTATTTGACTAGTAATTTTTTGAGTTGCATTTGAGTTGACCTCAATATGAACCATTAATTAGCGGGTCTTATTGGATCCATACCTATAGCCAAGAAATGAAGGAGGCCAACGGCTAAGGAGTAGCCCAAGCGAAATAGAACTAAGACTCAGAATTGAGCAAAAAGATTCGCTCGCAAACAGAAGATGTGACACACTTGTCGGCTTTATGTGGACAAAACAAGGAGCACAACTCAGGGGCGAAAACTCAAAATGGTATGTAATATCATTGTGATTCATAAAATTGTATCGTACAAGATTAACAATTGAGTGTGTGATAAAATATAATTAATGAACAATAAATAAAATAATTAATAAAAAAATAATAAATATCGAGTCAACACATAGATATATAGTGATTCGATTCGGGTGACTTGCTCCATTTTCGAAAATGACAATGGTGGCAGGGAGTATTTATTGATTTATAAAGTAAGAGAGAGAAAGCTCCGAGAGAGGTACAATGACTAAAAGAAAGAAGTTATGTGTGTAGAGAGATGTTGTGAGATACCAAGATGTGTCCTCTCATGTAGAGAGGGCTTATAGTTTATAGATATGATGAGGCGGTGAGGTAAGGCAGTGACGCGAGTGTGAGGACACTAATTCTTCGGAGATGATAGTTACAAAAGGTAAGTACAATTACAGATTGTTACGATCTTTGAGGGTGTGTATTCCGATAATCTTTTTCTCACGTGCTCTTATCTTCCTGAATTTCTTGGGCTGAGCCGGATTTGTGAGCTGGGCTTGACCTGTCTTTTAGCTAACATGGACTTACTTGATTTATTGAGCCTGATCCAGTTGGATTTGAGCTCGTCATTTGCCCTCCATGCCCCAAGCCCTGATTGCTTGCGAGAGAAGGGGGTTGAGGGCATGAGTGAGCCTTTGGATAAATAAGGGTTCCTTGTTATCCACAGTAGTCTTTAGCTTTCCATTTTTGTATTCTGCAAAAATTTCTTCCCTTATTTGGCGACACCGTGTCTACCTATGTGTCAACCATTAATCCTGTATTAGGTTTTTCGCTACACTTGGACTCCTTTTTTATCTAGAGCACCAACCTTTAGGTTCGATTATTGGCTGGGTGCATGCATTGCTGGCGAAGAAGCTACGAGTGGCGACGTCTTCAACCATATTGGAGCAGGCTTGGGCCTCTTGGGCATTGGCGCTGGCTGGCCTGGGAGACGCTTGGCAGCCTAGGTGCTGCCTTGGAACAAGAGGCGACTCCAGGGATGCTATATGATCTGGGCGTCATGAGGACCAAGGCATAGCCAGGAGAAAGGAGTGTGCTGAGGCGTTAGCCAGTGTATCAGAAAATCATGAAAAAAAGGTAAAACTTTGCATGACCATAACTTTGCTTTCGGTTGTCCATTTGAGGCATTTTTTTTTAAATCTGGGTATTTTTTTGAGATCTACGACATACAAACAGCCAAAGGTGGTTTGGTCAACAAATTTTTCCAAAAAATACTTATGTCTCTCTAAATTTTAGTTTTAAGCACCAATTAGTGAAACCGACGGTGGTGGAAAGCTGCGTTCTGGCAGACAGTTGTCAGGCATTCATGAGCGACGAATTGACATTTTTGGATTTTTTCCAGAGATGGAGACTATGATGGCTTTCGAATGGGTAAGAGGCGAACTAACTTTCTTCAATCCTACTTTCTCCTTAATATTTTCTCGATGTTGGTTCTTTATACTAACCTTGTCTCTAATTATAGGTGCCCTGTTGATATGACGATGGTGATGGCATTCTACGCTTTTAGAGTGGTGTCTTTCCCTTTTCTCAAGAGGGTGATATTTGAAGCCACCAGTGCTTTTCGGTTGAGGTCCGATGGCCAGGTTTCTTCCCGGGAGTGGGATCTAGTGGTGCCCCCATTCCTTTCCAGACTAGGACTTCTATGTGTACCAGAGCTAGCCCTTGTACAGTTGTAGGAGTTGAGACTCTAATGCGGTCTTCTACGGGGACTATAGCTCCACATAACTATCCTACTTCTAGTAGTGGCTCGGTATAAGGGGCATTATCAATACCGCGATGGAGTCTTCTATGGTATGTCTCTTTTCTCAACTTTGATTTTTTACTCGCCTCCTTTCCTTCATGTTTTACTTTTTGAATGCTTACAGGCGACTGTCGCTTTTTCCTGCCTTTTTTAAGGACAATCAAGCTTGGAGAGACATTCAGGCATTTGGTAAAAAGAGATAGGCACGGGGGGTTATTGAGAGCAGTTGAGATTGGCTCATGAGAGAGTAACACCTCTTGAGGCTGAGTTTTTGGCGACTCATGAGAGAGACACTAAGTTGGAGATTAAGACTGCTTGGGAGTAGAGATAGGATTAGACCAAGCTTCTTGGCCAATAGGGAGAAAACGGGAGAAGCTGGATACATAAACTGTTTGAGAATAGACGTAAGTTTAGGCCGAGCTTCGTGGTGACTCGCAAGAGAGCACGAAGCTGAATACATAGGATCCTTAGGAGCAAAGGTAAGATTAGGTCGAACTTCTTGGCGACTCGCGAGAGAGTGCGAAACTAGATACATAGACTTCTTGAGAGCAGAGGTAAGATAAGGTTGAGCTTCTTGACAACTTGCGAGAGAGTGCGAAGCTGAATACATAGATTGCTTGGGAGCAGAGGTTATATTAGGCCGAGCTTCTTGGCGACT